CATGGCACAGCTGTGAACCCTTGGGCCAGGCAGAGAGCAGCAGATCTTTTGTCAGCTTTCTATGAAACAGGGCAGTCATGGTCATTCCTCGGCACTCTTGCCAGCTTACCTGCCTGCCAGTGCACAGGAGGTATTCATCAAAGCGGGAAAGTTTGGGAAGGCCCACGTGCAGAGAGGGTGAAGAGGGAATCTCTTCAGCTTACAAGCAACTCTAGAGCCCACCCGCATCCAGTTTCTATGGGCTATCTACCACTGGATGGGCTACTCCTAAACCACAAGTGGCCTGCTGCCATGAGACGTCTGGCTGGGGAGCCTCTTACAGGGTTCTTCCACATATCTTTGCTCAAAATAGCCTGGAGGCTGGAAAATAATCTCTGTCACATCAGAGTTGCCAGGAGGAGATGGGGGCAAACTGAATTCCCTTCCTTCTAGGAAAGACTAGGCCACCCAATTCCTTAGGGATCTAGTAAGTGATTGATTAAGCCATCCATGTTTCCACCCTCCAGGCCAGCAACCACCAGGTACTATGCCAGGCCAGGTCAGGCAGGTTCTGTGCTTGGTCAAGAGACAAAGACTAAGCCCCATATCCTCAAGGTTGCACAGGGCCCTGACCATCAAGCCAAGGAATTGGGATCACAGGCAACTGGCAACACTGAAGGGCTTTGGCTAACTTCCTCCTTCTTCCATGTCTGCCTTGGCTCTAAACTAAGATCCTTCACAGTTCTGCACCCAAGAGATAGTTTATTCTTTCACGCAAAAGATCCTTGACTAAACACCTGATTGTCTTAACATTCTTTCCACCAGTAAGACTGAAGTAACAAGAATAAAGTTCACTGATGTTTCACAGAAGATGGCTTTGGAAATGTTAAAGACTTCCTGGTCCAGTCCCACTTTGGTTATAAATGGGAAAACAGAAGCCTAGAGGAGAAGAGTGAGAGGTGGAGAGCAAGGCCACATGTGAAGTGGGTAGGAATCAGGCCCTGGGCCTTAGCTCCTATCTACCCGCCCCAGCTGGGGAGGGCTACCAGTCCCAGCGTGGGGGTGGAGGACTGGTAGAGGGATTGACTTTGGAAGAAGTGGTGAGCTGTCTAAGTGCATGTTCTCCATAAGTTGCCCAGGAAAAGAGATGAGAGGCCAGGATCGCCCAGAGGATCAGTTTTTGGAGAAGGGTCATGTTCAACCCCTATCTGAGAAAGCACTCTCAAAACATATCCCTGCTCTGGGTTCTCATGGGAAGGAGGCAGGTACTACTCTCCAAGAAAGGGAAATCCATGGAGAGTCACTGAGCAAGCTGGTGGCCAGGCAGAACTCAAACCCAGGACTCTGGTCTCCCAGGATAAAGCTATGTCTTGGCGTTTTCTTTTTTAGGATATGGTCTTTTTAGAGAATGTGGAAAATAATTAAGGGACTTCAGCCTGAGGTCTTGAGATATGGCCACTCAAATAATCTTTCTCCCTAACTCCACCAAAGCCCTAATAACACATATTGGTAATTATCTGCCCACAAGGCTGACTCAGTGCCCTCCCTCTGGCTGACCTGGACTCCTCAAGGAGGGCATGGTCTTAGTCTGTACCAGCTTCTTAGAGCTTGGCAAAGAGCCTAGACAATGCTCCTCACACGAAGGAAGAAGGGGAGAGCTGGAGTGTCAGAACACATCCCTAAGAGGCTTGAGGCCAGTAAGGGCTAGTAGCACTGGGCCACAGAACAGAGGAAGGCTGTTCTTCTGTGGTGGTGACTGCCTTGAGGCAGATGCTGTGGTGGGTGGCATGGTCTCCACTTCACAGGTAAGGAAACAGAGGCTCAGGAAGGCACAGTCATAAAGGCAAGGCACAAAGTCTGGGGCTTCCAGAAGCCTTGTATCTTACTTTAAGTCTACCCTACCTTCTACCCAACATTTGAGACCCTTTCCTAACATCCCACAGGGAGACCAAGGGCTCTGTCTCAAGCCTTCAGTTGCTGCTTAGCTAGCCTCTCCTCCTCACCTGGAGCCCGCCCCCACAATAGAAGTTTTTCTCAACATGCTTAATTCTCCTCCCCGAAGCCTGGCAGACCCCGACTCTATCCTTCCTTGAACTCTCAGGAAGACACTGGGCAGAGGCAGGACAAACTCCTCAGTCGGGATCACCTTCCATCAATCACGGAGGACAGCACTTAGATTTTTCCTCTTTTCAGGACAACTCTTTCACCCAAGTGAGTGGGGTGAGGGGTAAGCTTTGTCCTGTGTGACAGGAAACAGGTTTCAGCTCTGCCAACTGTATGGACACAGGTGACAGTCATTCTCCAGCCTCCCTTCCTGCAGCTCTTCAGTGGGCATTGGCTTTCCTTCTATCATTTCTCATTGCTTCCTCACTCCCCAGCCTCCCCCTTCTCCTCCTCACCCAATCTCTCCTTAGATCCACTTCTCCCCATTTCTCAGTGATCTAGACAGGGCAGCAGCCTTCTCTATGGTCCTGCTCCAGGCTGAAAAAATCCCCTGTTCTGCCTACTCCCAGGTCCTTGTTTGTGATGATTCCCAGTCAGCTGGAAGCGAGAGTACTCAGTTCTGGGGTTTGCCATAGCATTTCAGTTTTAGATCCCCTTGGCATATCCCAAAGTTCTCTAGCTTTAAATAGAATAAATAAAAGGCTTTTTTTCCAAAAGCCTTTTGGGTTCTGATTCTAGGGCAGCCAGATACTGGTGGCCTTTCATTTTACTTTTAATCTAGTCTCTTGATCTATAGCACAGAAGCTTGATTCGATGGTGAAAAATAATAGCTCATTTTCACTCCACTGTTCAAACACGTACACTTGTCTTTCAGGTCTCCACCTGGACATCAATCCTTCCAGGCCTGCATCTTAGATGCCCTTCTAGCACCTGTCACAGTCCATAGTCATGTATGTCTCACATTATCTCCTCAATGTCATCTTCTTTTCCATTAGGCGGGAGGACTCCCTGATGGCAGTTACCTTGTCAACTGTGTAGTCTTAAGGCCTAGTCTCACATGGGATTCTGACAAATACCGGCGGAACAATTAATAACGCAGGCCCCCTTGGGAGGTAGGAGGAATTCTCATGGGCCATGTACTCCAGGAACTCAGTCACTAAGCAGAGGAAGGCTGCCTAACACTAGCAATGGCACGCAACAGAAGGCTGAGTGAAATGCTCTAGGCAAGAAGATCTCCAGGGAGAAGATGGAAATCCAGGAAAGCGTTCTGACAGAGGCAGTATGTGGGTTTATGTTCAGGCTATCCTGAAACTGCACCACCACCTACTCAGAGCCTAGCTACCATCCTCAAATGAGTTATTTCTCCCAGGATATTAGGACGGAAAAAACTGCGTTTGCTTCAAAGACCACATTTTACCTATAAGGAAACTAAGGCCCAGAGCAGGTCACAAACCAGTTCCTAAAGCCTGGCCAGACCTAGGCCTCAAGGGGTCTTCGGGTTACTAAGCACCAAGTGGGCAACCAGTTCATACAGGGAGCCACAGTAGCCAGCAGAACTGCAAAGCGTGGTGTCCTGAGGCCTGGTACCCATACTGTCTTCCAGAAGAAGTGTTTACTTTTCATTTTCCTGAAAGGCGTTCAGGAATTGCTAGGGTGCTTGGCAAGGTGGCAAGTGCTGTTAGGCAGACAGAATGCTGATCTGGCAATCACCTTGGGTGGGGGGGGGGGAGGTTGCAGGTTCCCTGATGGAAAGAGCCACAAATCTTTCGGAGGGAGGCCTGTTTGTAACTCTTAAGTGGGCTTGAACTAAAACAGAAAGTTGCTTTCTGAGGGAAGGCAAAATAAGCACAATCTTGGCTTCATTTATCATCCAGGTGCCTCCACAGGAGAGGAGGGACACAAAAGCCCTTTTTGCTTGTTTGTTTTGTTTTTGGAATTCGCAAGTGTCTATTTTGTTAAGTCTTCCCACTAGGCTAGAAGCATGAGCTCCTGGAGAGTCAGGCCTGAGTCTTGTCCCTGAAATCGCTAGCAAGCTCAGTCCAGGGGCTCAATGTTTGTTAAACAAACCAGCCTTCCATGTGTATGACCCCTCAGCTAGTCAAGACTTTCACAAGCCATGAAATATATCCAGAAACCCAGAAAAGACGCATTGAGGGATAAAAGCACAAAACAGTCAGATAGGAAAAATACCCAGCAGATATGATCAATAAAAGTTTTGAAAATAATTCTAAAATAGACACATCTTTGACAAGTTTGGATCAAGATGAGAAGGCGTCCGTCAATAGGCAACGATGCAAGTGAAAAAGAGGATGATGTGACAATGAGGAGTTAAGAGAGCAGGAGAAAACCACATACACTCTATAGCAGCAAACTAAACAAATAAAACAGGTGATTTTCTATGCAATTACCAAAGCCCTTCACAACTGTCATCTCGTTCAATCCTCCCAACAGTCCATGTCTTGGACAGGCAGTGCTCCTACTGTGCTGTTAGAAGACAGAAGGAGAGATCCAGAGATGCACTCCCAGCACAAGGCTCTGACAAGTTAGCCCGCTTTGTCTCAAAGGTCATGGTCACAGCAGCGCATGCACATCTACACCATGGAACCACACCACTCACACTTCTAGCCATCATCTTCAGTCTGCTGGTTGGACAGTCAGCCTTATTTATTTTTCCACTTGAAATGCCATAAGGAGTTTCACTTTATTTTTACTTCAAAAGCAGCACCATAAAAATCCTTGATGATTAGAGCTCCAGCTGTCTTAAGTTGTTTGTCAAGGGATCAGTTACTCAAATCTCCTATGGAGGGAAACAATTTCAGGCGAGAAGCCATGGGAGCTGAAAAACGCAAATGTCTCATCTCTGAAAACTTTCAGACTCCCTCCTGTTCACCGCCTGGCCTGCCCCTGCTCCACCTCCCCCAGTCCCACCATCTGCTCTCCAGGGAGCAGATCAAATTTTTGGGCTAAGGTACTCTGGCGCCAAGGACTCAGCTCTTCCATGCTTTCCCCTGCCCCCCACCAACTCAGAAATCCAACACCACGACCCAAATGGACTGCAGCCACACAAAACCACAAAGTAAAGTTTATAAAGCTTTATTAAACATTTCAAACAGCTGTGCAACGAACACACCAGAAATAAAAACTCTAGAATAGCAGTCCAAACATTTCACAAGTGTGGCCTCGCAGTCTCATTCCCTAGATGGACTGCCTCCAGTTCTGTTCTCTGCCTGGCCCACCTCCCTCTCCCTTTGGGCAAGAGAGAGATGGATGATTCGAACTGTGAGGATAACCATGATGATCCCCAGTAGGTAAGGGCCAGGAAGTCTCATTTGCCAATACTTGTTACTGAAGTGCAGAAAAAGAAAGAAGCAAGTGACAGTCACAACGTCTTCCTGTGTGTTCTTCATAATGTACAGTCTATATGCGCAGGAACGGAGAAGCTCCCGGCAGGAGGACGATGGCCACTGCTCTCCTCTGTCTTGTCTGAACAACATCGGAGTCCAGTGTGCTGGTCACGCTGCAATCCCCATGCTAAATAAAAACTATAGCAGTACCTACTATATATAGCTAGCTATTGCTAAACCTCAAAATCAGAACACGTTCGATAAAGCTTCTTTAAAAGGAATATACACATATATTTGCACACACACACACAGGGCACACCAAAAAATATCCAAACACCTATCAAGGGGATCATGGCTGTTATGAAACACACAGGACTCTTCCATTCACTCAGCTGGGGACTGCTAGGTCTACATGAACACACCATACTTCAATCCTGCAGAGCATGCATGGGAGACACAATGAGCCCCTCCTCGCGAGGAAGTCAGGAGGAAGGGCAGAGGAAGTGAGGCTGGGCGGGAAAGCATGGGCCCAGACACCCAGGTGAAAGAGCAACAGCTGTTGCATCCTTTCTTCAAAATGAAGTGGAGAAAATACTGGAGATCTGTGGACAGCATACAGCGAGACATGTTTCTGTCTGGCCTGCTGAGTAAGGAAAGAAGGACGAAAAGGCGAGGCTCTCGGGCGTCAGCAATCTCTTCAGATTCGAGATAAGTGCAAAAATGGGCCCTGTCCTAGACAGGTGCTCACCAAAGAAGGAGAAGGGGTAGAAGAGAAATTAGGAAACTAGGAGAGGGACTGAGGAGTCAATAACATTCTGGGAAGGAAGGGGACCCTGACAAGGAGGGGTCACAGAGGTGACAGTGAGACTGGCATTTTATCTGCCCAGGTCACACTGGGTTGGTGGATCAGGATGGGTCCAGACCCCTCGCAGTAATGAGGTGAGGGGGTGGCCATCCGGCCAGCCAGGACCAAGATGGGGACAGAAGACTCACAACCACAAGACCACCCACAACTACAGGACTCTACGATAAAAGCACCAGTCAGTGCCATTATTCACATTATAAGGATAAAACATCACAGGCCAAAAAGGCGCCGTCAGGAATGTGGCACCCGCGGGGCTGCGGGATTTGAAACTCCAATGCTTTATGACCTATGTCAATGCCTCCCCTCCCGTCTTCTGCTTCCTTGGAAAGCTAACAGGGCGAGCTGTTAGGTGCCCACAACGCCGGGGTCATGCGCCGATTCTGGAAGCGGGGAATCGGAGCAGTGGTACAGGAAACAGTTTCCCCAGCAGCTATAGCAGATGAGGAACAGGGCTGCCAGGAAAACCAAGGCACAAATTGTGCAAGGCTTCCGCTCCAGGAGGAAGCTGAGCAGGTAGAAGCCCATGAACATGGAGTGGCTGAACCACAGGGCGGGGTTGAGGGGCTTGGGGATGAGGAGGACGGGCAGCAGCCACTGGAGGCAATACATGATCTCTGCCGGGCAGAGCCTTCGCCAAGGCTGCCGGGCACCGCTGCAGGAACCGACCTAATGGGAGCCAGCGGGCGCAGGCGGCTGCCCTCCGCTTTCTTCAGCCCTCACTCTCCAGGAGCTGAGCCGCTGTGCTCTCTGGCTGTCAGCCCGGGATCACCAAGGCAGCAGGGATCCTGAAGAGAAAAGTCAACACAGCAAACAGACATAGACAGACAGACAGACAGACAAAAAAAAAAAAACAGGAACAGAATGTATACTTATTTGGGAAAATGGATCATGATTAACAACAGCAAATGTGAATGCCCTTTCCTCCCTGCCCACCCTCTCCAAGTCATCAGTTGGGGAAGCCTCCTGGGATGTCTCCCCTGGGCTTCTCCTGGGGGCTCAGGGAGAGGGCTCTTTGGCACAGGTTCGCACAGTGGACTGGCTTTGCCTGGGCCCTGCCCAGCAGAGATCATGTATCGCCTCCTGGGGCTGCGGCCCGTCCTCAAGGGCCCAGACCTCGCAATACCGCCCTTTGGTTGCCACAGGATGGCCATGGGCTCCGTACTGTGCCCCCATGTGGTAAGAACAGGGTTCTGTATCTAGTATCTCTCACGGTGAGGGCATGGTGCTTTGCTGGGAATGACAGGGAAGCTGCAGCGGAGGCGGCATTTCCAAATATGTTGTTTTAAGATGGAAGTCTAGGCCAAGCTTGCTTTTCAAAGAGCCCGGCATCATTTTGCCAAAAACAGTCAACTTCTTTGAAAGTCAATGTAGGAATAAAAAAACCACTATGCTACTTTGTCTTAACTAAACTCACTTAAATCTTTACACTTCCGTCTGCTGCCGGCACTGTATAGAACCTAACCTCCGGATGAACTTTTAATCAAAAATTTTTATTCACATAGGGGCAAATTCCAGTTGGCTCCTGGGCCAGGCGGCCTGTGGAGAGAGGTGGTTTTGGCGGGCCACGGGCATGCCGGGCCGCGCTCACACACTGAGTTGCGGTCTTCCCCCCCCCGTAAAACCTGCACTCTGAGAGGGTCCCACAAGACAGGCACTCCGAAAGGAATCCACAAACCAGGAACTGAAAGGGCCCCGCCTCACCTAGAAGCGGGCCTGCAATACCTACAACCCTCTGGTGGCGGCAGCGGAAACCCGCTCCATGCTCCGGCCGCCCAGCGCAAAGGGTACAAAGAACCGTGCCGGCTACAGCAGACCTACCCGGCCTGGGGGAGGGGCAGCGGAAGACGAGGTCGACAGGATCTGTTAGGCAAAACTCTCCCAGTCGCATCCCGACCTTGTCTCCGTAGAGCTCATTCCTGCCGCGCGGGCAAAGGGCGCCCATCCTTCTGGACCCCGCCCCCGGGTAGACACCTGGTCACTAGCACTTTGGCGCCTAGAGCACGCTGCCAGGGCTGGGCTCCCGACAGTAGCCATCTCGCTGCGAACCCTATCGCCTCGCTACTGTAAGAGGCGGGATGCGAAGAATAAGAGAAGGGTTCTGCGCTCAGGGACACTCACGAAGCAGAGGACCCGGGCTTAAAACTCCTCAAATGTTAGTGCTGAGCACCAGCCTGCGAAGCCAAGGCTCCTGGATTGTGCAACTTTGCTTTCTACGGGGCAGATGAACTCTCCTTAATTTCGGTTTTCCGTGCCCAGGGTGGGTTCTGGAGTGGCACTAAAGACTAGGCTCAAATGTGCAGGCCAGGGCTCAGAGCGGAGGGTACCACACCAAGAGGCTTGTAACCCCCTACCCTTCCCCTAGTCGCTACCCGGAGTCACAGTACTCCTCCATTTTACACTAAAATTCGAAAGCGAACACGGCGGAATCTTCTGGAAGGGGGTTAAGATGAAACTCAGGAGGCGGGGGTCGGTGTGGAAAGAGCAGATGGATTATTTTTCTCCTCTCCTGGCGAATGAGGAGCGCCCCCAGCCACCCCTCCTCAGAAACCCCCCCAAAGCGCGCATGCGCACTTAGGTGGCAGGCGGGTACTTAAGGCGCGGCCACCGCCGCTGCGGCAGTGCGCCCAGCAGCGGACTCTGAGAGACCAGCGGATCTCGGACCTCGGCGAACCTTCGCTCCCGACCACCCACCCACCGCTCTCGGAGCCATGGCGGCAGTGGCGGCGGCCTCGGCTGAACTGCTCATCATCGGCTGGTACATCTTCCGCGTGCTGCTGCAGGTAAGTGTGCCAGGGTTCTGGGTGGGAGAAGACTTCCCGCGCGCCTCATGACCCGCAAGCCCACGTCGCGATTGCCGCCTCCCGAGCCCGTCCTGTTCCGATTGCCGCGATCCCGCCTGCCCAAGTGCCGCTGCCCACACGCGCGCCCCCTGCCCGCTCGCTGCGCGGTCCTCCTCGCGCAGACCCTCCCCAGTGCGCCCGCGCCCGGCCGGGAACAAAGGCTCGGGGCGCGGCGGTCCTGCCGCGGATGATCACCGAGGCTTTTAGAGACCGACGCGGTAAGAAAAACCCGCTACACCCGGACTCAATCAACCCTTGGCGGGAGGCGGGGCACTTCTGCGCTGCGAGACTTTACAGCTCACAGAGTGAAAATTTTCCGCCTTAAAAAATTGCGCATTGCGGGAAATTTTCTTTAAAAAAAAAAAAAAAAAAAAAAAAAATATATATATAGCGCTTGCGGGGGTGAGACGAAAAATAAGTTAGAAAAAGGCACTTCTCAGAAAAAATGATCACTTAAAAAAACCCACAACGAATTAGAAAAAAAGTAATTTGCAGGAAAAAGAGAAAAACGCGCATTGCAGGAAAAATAAATCAGACAAAAGCACTTGGCAGAAAACAATGAATTAGATAAAAAGCGCATTGCAGGAAAAAAATAGACAAAGGAGCTAACAGAAAAAAATGAATCAGAGAAAAATGCTTTGATGAAAACAATTAGAGGAAAAAGCCCTTCGCAGGAAAAATGGAAGGGGAAAATTGTGCTTCCAAAAAGGACAAATTGCTTTATGGAAAAATAAAATCAAATAGAGGCAAAAGCGCTTTGTGTAAAAAGATACACATCAGAAGAAAGCGCTTAGCCCATAAAATCATTTACCCCAAGAGCTCCCTTTGCAGGAAGAACTCCCTGCTAAAAGAATCATTTGCCAAAGGAATCGCATATTTCCTTCAAGGTGTTCCTGGAATGCTGCATTTACTGGGTAGGATTCGCTTTTCGAAATCCTCCAGGGACACAGCCCATTGCGAGAAGTGAGGTATACCTAAGTTGTGGGTCCAATCAGCTTGCCGCCATGCAGCCCTCAGCACAGTTGGAAAAGCTCCAGCTGCCCTGACTCGTGGACAAGCTGCGCCCGCGCCTGCCTCTCGGGCTTACCCCGACAGGCGGGCGGGGCAGGGGGCGGGGCGGGGGTGGGCACGGCCGCACCGCAGAGGCGCTGCGGGTGCCCTCCACTAAGGGTGGGTCTTGGGTTTCTTCCCGCAGGTGTTCAGGTACTCCCTGCAGAAGCTGGCGTACACCGTGTCCCGGACCGGGCGGCAGGTGTTGGGGGAGCGCAGGCAGCGAGCCCCCAACTGAGGCCCCAGCTCCCAGCCCTGGGCGGCCGCGTCATCAGGTGCTCCTGTGCATCTCGGCCAGCATGGGAGCCCGTGCCGCGCAGGAATGGGGGGTCCCCTGTGCTCCCTCGCCAGAGGAGCACTTGGCAAGGTCAGTGAGGGGCTGGTAGGCCCCCGGAGAAGCAGTACCGACAATGACGACGATACCAGATCCCCTCCTAACCCCTTTGCACCGGTCCCACTCCGGGGCAGGGTCGGGGGAGGAGGGGGAATGGGGGAGCAGAGCTGAGATCTGGGCGTAGGCACCGCATTCTGATCTGGACCAAGTTGGGACAGCAACATCTCAGCCCCGCAGCCACAGCCAGGCCAGCAGGCCCCACCACGGAGACAAACACCACACCAGCCAGCAGAATGGACATTCCAACATCACCAGCCGAAGCCCTGAACCTCAGTGCAGCAGAGACGGCACCTGCTGCGTGCCCGTGTGCCCCTGTGGCAGGACTGGAGGGTGCACCGGAAGGGGAGGTTAATAGAATGGGGCCCTTTCACTGTCCCTTGCCTAGGGCACATGCATTTCAGCCTTGCTGCCTTCGCTCCCTCAATTCCCCTTTCCCCCCTCACTGACTCCCAAGCCCACTCCACCCCACCTCAAGAAATGTGTCACTTGATTTGGGCCTATTCAACCAGTAAATGAATCCCATTTTTACTAAAGCATCTTCTCCGAGCCCCCTGCCCCTCACTGATCTTGCTTTTCCCTGGTCTCACGCAGTTGTGGTCAATATTGTGGTAATCGCTAATTGTACTGATTGTTTAAGTGTGCATTAGTTGTGTCTCCCCAGCTAGATTGTAAGCTCCTGGAGGACAGGGACCACCTCTACAAAAAATAAAAAAGCAATACCTCCCCTGTCTCGCACAGTGTCCCAGGACCCTGCGGGGCAGTGGAGGCGCACCAAAAAGTTGTCTCTTGTGGCTTCTTTTGCGGCTCAACACACTTCTAATACTGGGCTGATGTGCCCATTGTGGGGTGGGTACATTACTTGGGAGGATGGAGGAAAGGGGGGCGTCAAAATTGGAATAAATTGGGCCCTTCACACACCCAGCCCCACTTCCACACTGTCCTGAGATAAAGGACCATTTCCCCTTCCCCTAAGAAAGACTGACATCTTGTGGTCCCAGAATAAGGGACTACTGCACCCCCCCAAAGGGATGGGCGCCTTTACTTGTGGGCCTGGGATAAAGGGGCATAGCAGGTAATCACTTTGGGAAAGTTGGGGGTGGGGGAAGGGGAGTAGCCCTCAAAATGGGGCACTAGGGACCAGGGGGGTGATTTCAGAACACAAAGCCTCACTCCAGGTCTCCATCCAGGAGCCCCAAGGAAATGAGCACTGGGCAGGGTGGACCCTGGCTCCGACAGTGAGCGTGGGATAAGAGGTGTGGTGTGGCACCTCCTCTACCCAGCTTAGCACTCCCGGCCCTTGGCCACTACAAGGGCAACCTGCCTGGCTCTGATACTCGCCCAGATCTCCTGGTGCTGCACCCTGCCCTGAAACCCGCCCCCCCATTCCAGGTTCCCTGTTTTTCCCAGCTCCTTGTCCCTAAGAGACGCTTACCGGGTCCCCGGCCCTGGGCTCTCCCCTGCCATCATGTCAGGCAGGTGGTGGGCTGACTGCTCGTTTCTCTCCCCTCTCCCACTGCTCAGTGAGTCAGGGTTCTTTTTACGTGGGGTCAGCTGACTCTCACCAAATGGCCCTGCCGCCTGTTCAGCCTTGTCTCTGGCTTTGTGTGTCCCTGTCACTGCACACCTGTTCCTGGGTCAACACCAAGGAAGAATGGGAGTCAGAGGGCCATAACTCTCTCTTTCTGCTACTTCTTCAAATCCCTTAGTCACAGTTGGCACTAACACTTATGGAGCACAATGTACTTCGCCAGCTTGAGCCTGATCATGTTTCCGTCCCCTAAGCAAGCTCCTGAAGCTTCTCAGCCCAATCATCAGCACCTCCCAAGGCACCTACCACTTCATTCAGTGTCAGAAATTAGGGGGTTGGGCAGTGCAGATCTCGGTTCTGGTCTTAGCTTTGCCATCAACCAGCCTAGGGAATCTGCACCGATTCTCGTCTACCCCTCACCCTCAGGATCCCTCTGTAAGAAGGCCTCTGAGATCCCAGTGAACCCCAACATACTGGAAACACTGCCATCAAAATGTCAATCAGGACTCATCAGGACGCAGGAAGGATGTGCAGTCTGAGACTCCTTCTATCTTAGACTGGGTGGCTACAGCTGCTACCACAGCCTAAAAGGTGAGGTGGGTCTCCTCTTGTCCCAGAGTGACTCATAGCAGGCACTGCCCACACCTCTTCCCTTCTGAAGCCTGTGTCTTGTCAGGCCTCAAGCTGGGAGTGCCTGTGGTTTTCCACACTAAACCCACAGAACCATGAGCATATTTCAACATGTGTTCTCAATGAAGGCCGACCCTCTCCTCAGCCTTTGAGGGGCCCCACTGCCCCAGACTCTAGCCTCAGCCCAAGTTACAAGGCAGCAGAGTTCAAGTTGGCAGGCCAAAGCAGCATGGAATGGTCTGGCTGCTCTGAGCACAGCCCTTTTTGTCCCCCCAAGCAACCCCTGCCAGAAGGCAAGAAGCTGCTGGTAGCCCCAGAGCTTTCCAGATGACCGTGGCAAAGCCCTTTTCCTCCATCCGTCAGCAGGGCTCTGAGCGTGGCAGGGTGAGATGACAGACTTACGGGCAAGGGCTGCTCTGGTGGCCTGCACCTGCATGGGAGTGCTTGACCGTGCAATGTTCACTCCCCACATTCATCCTCCACCCGTAAACCCTCATGTTTTGGCAGCAGACTTAGCCCCCTGGAGAAGACAGTGCGTTCACTTTTCATCCTGTGCAATGCCTAGAAGTCTGGTCCAAACACACCTTGTTTATACATTTTCTTCCACAAGCTACACCATTAAAACATTTTATTCTGATAGAGAGCAATGGGAGGGGTTGAAAATGACTAGTGTTTTATTCCGAAGCCCTTAGTCACAGTGCTAAATGTACCCTTTCCCGGTCACTGCTCCCACAAGACTGTCCCCACAAGGCCAAGGACAGAGCAGGTGAGTTGAGAGGGTGTTGGGAAGGGGTCTGTAGGACTCCAGCAACACGGGAGACCCTGGGCCTAATGCCCAGAAAGATGTTCGTTTCTTCTCCTAATCGGGTGACGTGAAGTCCTGGGGGTGGGGCTGTTAGGCACCGTGACTTTCAGAGGCGTGGGTGCTGTGTGACACTGTTACCTCCATGTGCGGAACCTCTGGATTGTGACTGAAGGAAAGGATGTCTGCTCTCAGGGTGGGCAGGGCAGGAGCAAGTTTCTTGAGCTTCCGCTGGAGGGCCAGCAGTGGCTTATCACACATGTGTTGGACGGAGGAACGGGTTTGCTGTGGGCCATTTACTAGACATCTAATTTGAAACTTGCATCTCTTTAGGAGCCAACACACCAAAGAGAGATTCTGAATTTGCAGTTAACCTTCCCCCAGAGATTTAAACACGCTCGCACACACATGCTATCTAACAACAGTCTATTTCCCGGGTGTTCTGACTTCCTCCACATGCCCCAGAGACATGGTGTCACCAAATTCTCTGGGAATGAGCCTGTTTATCTGCCCCTCCCTCCCACAGGGCCCAGGCTCCAGCAGGATCCAGATTCCTGAGCATTCCCAGAGCAGGAAGTCAGAGAGGCAGGCAACACACGGTCCTTGGTATATCACACAGTGACAGGCTTGAAATGGAATGCATGTGTTTCAAAGATAGGAGAACAACAAAAAAAGACAGCCTAATCCAGATTCCTCTTTGAAACAACATATTACAGATAAAAGGTTAAAGTGTTCTTGGCAGCAACAAGACCAATTTCAGATACGGAATTGACCTGGTTCACTGGAAACCGACTGGGCTTCCTGTGACTGAATATTTTTACAGATTTGTTTGACAGTAATTAGCCTCTGATTTAAAACAAACACGCAAACAATGTCTAACACTTGGTATAAGCACTTAGGCTGGAACTGTTTTTTGGTCTCGGCTTTGGTGTCGCTGTCCAGAAGGCTGACGGGTGGCTGGACCGTGTCAGGCAGGGCAGAGAAGCCGTCCCCAACACACCAGTTCCCTGAAAGGGATAAGAGACGATCCGAACCTATAAACAGAAAGGCCGTTTCCTTCCTAGGACAGACCCCCGACTCCCAACATTTAGCGATGAAAAGTGACACGGAGGCCTGGAAGGAAACCAAAGGTTTGGAAAGGGGAAAGAAAAAAGCAACTGTCCCCCTTCCCCTTTCTTTCTTTCCAGGCCACTCAGCTGCCTTTGAGGACCGCTCCCCACACGTGCCGGGGGAAGGGGAATGGGTGTCCAGATTTGGCGTCAGCTTAGAGGGAGGAAGAGGCGCCCGCGACGCGGGGCAAAGAGTCCACCTACCACCCAGACACCGACGCCAGGCGGGCCCCGGGCAGGAGACGCTTCTCCCTCTGCTCCCCGTGCCTCTTAAAAATAAAACGCAACGGAAGTGATGGGGACTCAGTGACAGGCCCTTCCAGGCTGGGCTCCTGCCACGGGACCCGGGGCCTACGAGGTGAGGGGCGCGCACCCCCGCCCCGCGCCTCCGGCTCTGCCTGCCTCGTCGTGGGAGGGCGCTGACCTTGGAGACCGGAGCGAGAACCCGAGTCCAGCGGCCTGCCCTTAGGCTCGGAAGGGCCCCCCCCCAGGCCAGGGCCAAGCAGAGCAATCACCTGATGTCGGACAAGGGTGCCCCCCCGGGTTGCGGAAGGAAAACCCCAGTGAAGGGGACCCGGCGACGCCGAAGGTGACCCAGAAGGGACAACATGGCGGCGGGGCCCTACCAAGGCCTCTCATCCCGCCCCGAGCAGGCGGACGCCACGGTACCTGCAAGCCCCGCCATGGCGCCGCCGCCACTGTCGCCGCCGCTGCCGCAGCCAGCCTCCGCCTCAGCTCGCCGCCGACGCCGCAGGAAGCCGGGGAGCCGCCCCCTTCGTCTTCTAGCCGAGCGGGCCGAGGACCCCTCCCAGAATCGGGCTGCCTGGAACGAACGCCTGATTACACGTCCCGAAACGGGGCCAACCATCCCCGCTGTCTCCCCAATATCCCCACAGACCATCATTATGAGACTTTCCACGTCCTTTCATGAAACTCTGGGGGCGTCGAAGTCTGCAAATCCGAATGATTTTTAATCAGGCGCGGCTGGGGCAGCCCCGGCTCTCGGGCTCACGGTCCCTCATGCATATGCAGCAGATTGTGATCCGCACGCCTTGAGCGCGGGGCGGGCGGGGCTTGGCGCCGGGTGCGGAGCCGGGCTCGCCGCGGCCCGCTCGGACGGTCCGTGTGCGCGGAGGAGACCTCCCGGCTCGAAGTCCGCTCCTCCCTCGCCCTTTCATGAAGGGGCCAAGGCTCAGGAGCGGAAATATCTGGGCCCGGGGCCGGCCTTGGGTCAGGCCTGACTCCGCCCCTCGCCCCGTCCCTCGGGCGGGTCACTCGCCCACCCCTACCCTCAGCTCCGCCTGCCTGACGAAATGGCCACCCCGGGCTCGTTGGGGGGTTGAGTGAATCGCTGCGTCCGTTTATCAGCGCGTCGAGCTCACTGCCCGAGGGCCCACTGTGTGCCGGCGCCGTTTATCGGCGCGTCGAGCTCGCTGCCCGAGCGCCCACTGTGTGCCGGCGCCGTTATCAGCGCGTCGAGCTCGCTGCCCGAGCGCCCACTGTGTGCCGGCGCCGTT